ATGCTGATAATGTTAATTTATTGGGTGATGATTTAAATATAAACACAGAAGTTTTACTAGAAGCTAGTAGAAAGGTTGGCTTAGAAATAAATACAGAAAAAAATAAGTACATGTTAGTATCCCATTAGCAGACAGGCAGGCAAAATTATGTTAGGGTGGTTAATCCTTTGGAAGTGTGACGAAGTTCAAATATTTGGGAACAATAACATATCAAAGTGATATTTATGAGGAAATTAGGAGACTAAATTCCAGATATGCTTGCTACTTTTCGGTTCAAAATATTTTATCTTCCCGTCTGATTTTGAAGAACCTAGAGATTAAAATATACAAAACAAATATTTTTGCCTGTTGTTTTGTATTGGTGCAAAATATGGTCTCTCACTCTCAGGGATGAACACAGATTGCAGATGTTTTAGAATAGGGTGTTGAGGAGGATATTTGGACCTAGGAGAGAAGATGGAGTATGGAGAAAACTGCATAATTATGAGCTTAAAATTTGTATTCCTCCCCCAATATTGTCAGGGTGATTATGGCATGAAGAATGAGGTGGGTGGGGCATGTGGCACGCATGGATGGGGCAAGAGGTGTGCACCGAGTATTGGTCGGGAAGCTTGAATGGAAGCTCCGCTGGGGAGACCTAGATGTAGATGGGAGGATAATATCAAGCAGGATCTATAGCAGATGAGAGTTGAAGGCGATTGCATTTTGTTGGCCCAGGACAGGGACTGGTGGAGAACTTTGGTAAATTCAGTAATGAAGCTTCGGGTTCCCTAAGCTAGCTAGTTAGTAAATACAATTACTGTTCATGAATTCAGTAATAGAATTTATGGAGCAAGAAAAACATGTGCATGAGGGTTCTCTAGGTTTGTCACTTCTTGTGTTACAACAACAAAATAAAACCCATAATTAAAACCATGGTGATTTTTTGGTGTAGATGCTTTGGAAATGTTTACTGAGTCTGTTTGACTTTTGAAACCATGGTCAGATGAAGATAAAGCTTATGCAGCCAAAATGAAACTTACAGGTGTGGCCAAGGCATTGTACACAGGAAACATAGACTTACATGAGCCTAATTTTACACAGGAATGTTTCACTGAAATTTTCAGAGATTTGAGGACATAATGACACATCAATTTCCCTATCAGCAGCTGCTAATGGTGGAGCAAAAGAAATATGAGGATCCTAAAACTTTAACAGATAGTGTCTGTACATTGGCAAAGAAAACACTGCCAGTTTCACACCTTCTACCAATACAGAATGTGTAAAGCAACAATTATTAGATTTATTTTTTATTACATCAAGATATTTCAATGTAAGTAAAATTCTGATCACCAAAACAATGACTGAGGCACTTTGAGTTGCAGACATAGTTTACTTAACTGTGAATGTAGATAATAAGTCAGACAGTTTTCATTATCTACAGCCAAGATGGCAAAAGCAAAGTCAAGAACAGGAAAAAACCTTGATCACCCTCACAGCCTGCACATGATGATACAATCACCAGTTCAGCCACAGGAGGGATCCAATGATCCCTTGCAGGCTGACCTATACTCAAGAAAAGGCATAAAGGAAACAGACTGACTAATTTTTCTTATTTTCAGGAACACAATCAGTTGGTGCATCATTATCACAGAGATACAAAACTGAATAGGTTTACATGGACCTCACCTGAGGGATAATAATTATACCTAAATTATAAATAGTGATTTCTGACGATTCTTGGACAACAGTAGTAAACTTGAACAATGAGAAATATGAAGACTTGCAGTTTGTTTGCAAGACATATTAGTTAGCTAGTTTGAAACAAAATTAGTTATATTTTAAGTAATTGGAATTTAAGCAAATTTGTTACTAGCTGATTTAAAGGAACAGTTTGGCAATTTTTATTAATTTTTCCGAAAGTGAGTGCTGAGCACGTTCTGTTTTCTACTGGAGAAACAGAAGCATTGGCTGGATTTTGCCACAGGGCATTTTAGTCTTTCTGTCATGGAAATTACATCTAAAATCATCCGTGCGAGTTTCCAGACAATCATGCTTTCAGGGCATTCAGATAATGGAAGGAAAGTGTGCATGCAACAAAGAGGGCCAAGAATGAAGTATATTAAAGTGAAAAAGCCCTACAATTTTTCTCCCATGTTGTGAGAACAACTCTCCTGTGGACAGATTAGCATTCATGCTTCTTACACAGAAGGCCCCACATTAAAATATGGGACTAGAGGCCATCCATCACAAATGACAGTTTCTGTGGTGTCCCTTAATTGTCCAGTAAAGCTATGCCTTTCTAATATACATCATCCACAAATGTTCCTATTGTACACTACACAGAAAACACTGAAAATTAAACCAACAAAATCATTACAAACTATGAAAGTGTCTAGATCATAAAGGTTTTTAAATCCTTGAAGAATATCTGGTCCACACTATACCACCCTACACAAAATCTGGTTGTGAATGATACACAGCAAAACACGTTTAATATGAAACTGGAGGAACTTGTAGCAGATAGTACACTTATGACACGACAGTTTATTTACAGAAACAATGCGGAAATACAGCTGCAGGTTAGGTTAGTCAGGCTAGGGAAGAGATATCACCACCATGTTTCCAATGGAAGCACCAGAGTAAAAACACTATAATTATGTAAGAATGTATAGCAGCTATGTTTAAATGCTCCATAAAAATAATGTACAGCAGCCACATAGTAAGTTGCTAAGTTAGTTTAGGGAAGTGATAAAATCACAACATTGTCAGATGAGCAAAAATACATTCCCTTCAGTGTACTCAGTATTGACAGAGATGTTAAAATGTACTGTAAAATAGCTTTCACATTCACTGTTATTCATCATCAGTAGTTCTTTGTATCTCATCTTTCTTTATGTGCCAGACATAAGTATTAATTCATTTGCTGTATATGAGATTGAAAATGGCTAATGCAAGGTCATTTATCTGCATATGCACAAAATGGTAACTCTTCTGTAAAAATTCAATACAGATTAATGCACATCCAACCCTGACACTTTCTACTGGCCACAAATACCGAGCCCTCTATGGTCTTTTACACTAACTTAAATAAACAGCTAATCTTTTCCATACCACCGAGTAATTCCCATGCACACAGCTACACAAAGTAAAGGACTAATGTGGCAGCAAAAAGTTTATAACTAACCTTAATCATGTTGGTAGAACTGATTCTTGCACATAATGAATGCACAAAATATTTTTTCACCTGTCTGTGGTCAATTAGACAGAACTGAGGTGTTTGAAATTAGGAACACTAAAATGTGTTGCTGTCTATAAATAGGTGCAAATTTTCCTATTTTAAGATAAAATTTGTCCATCACTTCATTATTTAGCAATGCAATAACTGGAAAAAATAAAACTTCAGCGTCAGAGCGAAACAAACAGTGCCATTTCTGCAACTGCTTCACTGTGAAATGTCTGACAATAGGATCCCAACCATATGATATATATTTGACACGTTAATCTCATACAGTAACTTCATGTTGTGTTGGTATCATATTGATGACACCCGTAATATTTTGTTAGATACCAACAAAAGCACAAACTACACATAACACTCATACCAATGTGGAAAGACGTCACGAGAATGATTCTGTGATGACACTGGTACAGTACCAAAATATTTAACATGGTGACCAAATCCTCCAGATAAGCCTCACTTTATCACAAGAAGGCAAAACATTATCTAAAAGTTTGGGATTTATGCCATTAGGCATTTCTGAACAAGGTAAAATGGCAGAATGCTTACTTCATTCAATAGTAGTAAATAAAACATTTTATTACATATGTATCAAAATAAATAAGTGTATAAATACATAATGCAGAATAACTGCCTCGTCACACACTCTCATAAATGTAATCAATTATACTCAGATATGGGACTTACAACTGCAGCATATTCATGGGACAAACATTACAAATTTTATACAAAAATGTAATCTACATAAATAATATACTCCTTGCCTGATTTGTTTAGTAGCGCTGCTAGCAGGAAAAGAATATCTGCAGAATTACCTGGTACAATGAACATTTCACAAACACACTGAATGCAGATAATTGCATTTGCTGACCTAAGCCAATTCAATTTGATGTATTTTCATGTTACAGAAACAAAACTTCTGCAGACTTCTCTTTGCAAGTTAGGTACTCTCTCGCTATGGCTTGGTGTTAAATACATAGAAAAAATTATGTCTTCCAGAGTTGTGGCACTCAATTCAATATAAACAAAGGTAATCAACAGAAAATAACTAATGTTTATCTGTACCTTTAAATTAGGACCACTTGGCATTCCACTAGCCACAGATGCAAGCACAAATATCCCCTTGATAGTTTTGCAGCTGTGACAAAATGGAAAATCATGGGTGTCTTTAATGGCAAATAAAATCAGAGTACTACTAGTATTGACTATGTCTGCCAACTTGTGGTTAAAAAATATTTCATATGATCGAGACATCCAAGCAAAATCACAAAGTAGTTTATTTAGTGCAGCAAAATATTATACTGGAATAAATAATGAAATCATCAGACTATCCCATCAAACACATTTAATAATACATGCCATTTTCAGTACAATATTCCACAGAGAATATTTCAGAAGGACCAACTTTTTAATTGACTATATTTCTGGAACATTCTAACTGTGATGAAACTGTCAGTGATTTTACCAAACATGCATCATACTTTGAGCAAAACATTTTGAAATCTCTTGTGTACCATCATCCAATGTTCAGAGTTAAGACTCTATCCCTGCATAT